AGGTTAGGCTCATTCACCCTTATGGCTTTGACTGTCCCTTCCTTGTCCATCACTCTTGACCCTGGATTGTTGGGACAGATGTCTCTCTGGTCCTCAGGAGTGGATATCTAACTCATGGATACCTCCTTCTGTGTCACATAAACCTCACAGCAATGACATACGCTGCTTTCCCAGAAAACCTGTTGTACCCTTCAGGGATACACATCACCATCATCCATCCAAAATCCCCAAATCAGAATTTTGTGATGTCTTTGATAATCTCTTCTCCAGCCTTTTATGTATGTGCACATGAGCACAGGTACGCTGTAGGCCAGATATGCCAGATGCTCCTGCCAGCACAGGATGGTTGTAAGCTGCCTGATGTGGATGCTGAAACTGAAACTTGGGTCCTCTGCTGGAGTGACACAAATCTCCAACACCTAAGCCACTTGCCAAGCACAGCTTCTACCTTTGAACCTGAGAGTTTACTGATGGCATTCTCTGCTATGATTGTCTGTGTTCAGATGGCCTGTGTTGGGGGGGGGAGTCATTTTTCAGATGACTGAGATGTATTAATCTTAGCTTTATAAGCTACAAATTTGATTGTATTGCAAACAAACAAAAAAATTTACCCAGAATATATTTGAAGTTTTAACAATTAAGTGTTTGCGTTTTGGTCTTACTAATACTTGCCCATCAGGCAGAAACGATGCATGGCTTAGGAACTTGCCCCCTTCCCAAATAGGGTATGAAATCTAAAAAACAGATTTCCTAAGACAATGTCATCTCCAGAAATACATTCAAAACTGCAAATGGTGACCAGCTTGCTATGGACCATTGGTCTTTCCAGCAATAGAAGGAGAAGTCCAGACAAAAGCTTAACAGCACAGCAACCAGAGCTCTGCAAGTACAAGGGGAGTGAGGGTGCCATCCATTCAGGCACAGATACAGCAGAACTCGGCCTAAGTAAGGGTTTCAGGGGCTAGTGCTGTTCTGAAGAAATGGAATGGGTGTTCAGCTGAAGGGCTGCCATGTGACAAAGGCAAAAACGAATGTTAAATCAATTCAAAGGAGTAGTTGTTACTAATACTACTTTAAGATATTTCTTTCATGAGGTAATCATAGCTTAGTTTTGTACTGTCTTAGACATTTACTAGGTAAAGTACTTAATAGAACTTTTCCCTGTGAACATTTCCTGTCTTCAGAAACCACAAGTGGCCCATGCTTTCCTTACTGGGCAATATAACTTTAGATTCTATTACCAGATAAGTCAGTGATTCAGAGCCGAAGTGTCCTCTCTTTCTTTCTGTCTACACACACACACACACACACACCACAGGAGGGGAATGAAGGGAAGGAAAGAAGGAGATGGATGGAGAGGAGAGAAGGATAGAAAGAAAGGGGTGAAGTGGGAGGGGGACAGTGGGAGGGAGTAAGGGAGAAAGTCTATTTGTAACTATAAAGTATTAAAAATCCAGAGCATCAGCTGGGCAGTGGTGCACGCACCTTTAAATCCCAGCATTTGGGAAGCAGAAACAGGCAGATCTGAGTTCTAGGCCAGCCTGGTTTACAGAGTGACAGACAGACAGGGCTCCACAGAGAAACCTTGTCTCAAAAACAAAAACAAACCAACAAAAAGTCCAGAGTGTATTTTGATACCTAAATAAAATGATAACTGTGTATTGATGTTTTCTGCCTATTGAATATTGGTATTTTCAGCACCGATCATGCTTAAATGGGGTCATTATTTTTATCATCCTGATTCAGGTCTATCATTAACCAAATAAGTTACTTAAACAACCCCTAGTAAAGATACAGAGGAGCTGACAGAGAAGAGAGAGGACATATGGAAATCACCATGACACTGTCTCCACAAGAGATGCAGACCTAAGTCCTCTTGAGGGAGACTAGGTTTTTTGTTCATGGAATGAAGTAGCAAGAAATCAAACCACAGGCACCTCTGAGGCAGGTAGGGTGACAGGAGGAAGCTGAGAGCACAGGAAGACGACACCCTGGGTGGTACATAAGCAACTCCTTCAGTGTCTCCTCAGCAGCCAATTCAGGCTTGGAAGAACACTGCCAACATCTCTCCTGAGCATGCTAGATAAAAGAGTGCCCCTGCTCTCCAGTGAACACAGAATAGGATACAGTGACGTCAGCCATGGGTTACGCTGGGGCGGGGAGGACAGGAGCCATTTATCTGACCTACTATAGAGACTCAGAAACCGCAGATATATATTTTGAGCTGAACAGCTGATAGACACCATTTTACAAGACCGGACACTTTTAGAATCATGACAAAAAGTAAAGCTATCCCAGGGGCAGGAGGTTACTTACTGCCAATAGCTCTATCTTACTATAATCTTTTCGATGGGCCAATGAGTTCTTTTTCACTTTGCTTTGTTTCAATGTATGTTTTTGTTTATACAATTAACATTATATTTTTAGTTTATTAACTAATCTACTTATTTTGATAACATTTTATTGCAGAATGTAACATTCTTAAGAAGATAAATAAGGAACAACTAATTTTGGAGTGTCTGATATATATCTGATATCAAGCTAAGTACTGGGGGTTGGGGGCAAAGTTTGAGACAGGGTCTCACTATGTAGCTCTGAATGTTCTGGAACTCTCTATGTAGAACAGGCTGGCCTTGCACTCACAGAGATCTGCCTGACTCTGCCTCTTGAGGGCTAGGATTAAAGGTGTGAGCCACCATGCCCAGCTAAGTATATTTAAACTTTATACTATAATCACCCACATTCTATAGAAGATAACATAATTACTTATATAAATAATGTAGCTGGATCATACAGAAGATTTTACATAGGGAGGTAACTTTTTCCTTCCTCATGTCCTACACATAGATAACCATGTTTTCATAAGTGGTGGTACATAGTCTACAAATCTTACAATCCTAGTATGTATCTACTAATCATTTGATGACTTTTAGCTTCCTCTTTGGACATTAGCATTGGGAATTTACCTTATAGATTCAAATTACTTTTGCATTTATTCTTAATGAAGAAACAATTTTCTCTGAAGAAACTGAGGATGTATTATTCAGAATGTTCCCTGAGAAGTAACTTCAGGCAAATCTTACAAAATATCTAAGTGTTACCACAGCTGTAGCTGAAGTTGTAGCCAGCCAGTTGACTAAGACCGTATTCTCATTTCTGCCTCTTTCATCTCAGTATTTTTATTGTTGACTCAAATCTTGAAGGTAAGAAATATCCCTTTGGCTTACCACTGACTATTTGACTCAACAATCAAGTTGATGACTATCGAGAGCCTGTGCTTTTCCTCTATTCATCCATCCCATAACTCCTTACATTTCTTGTGCTTCCGCTGTGCATGAGTGTGCCTGTGGCAAACCCTGTGCCCCACACCACCAGTGAACTTTGGTTTTCCTTTAATTGACAGCTGCTGCCATCTAAAAGCTTATGTATCAGGACATGATCTTTCCAGTAAAATGCAAGCATCCAGAAATAGATTCAGTGCCCTCCAGGCAGGAAGTAACCACCAGTAGTCTTAATGTCATGGATCTGGAAAGAATGCCAGGACCACAGAAGAGAGAGCTCTCCCTCCTGAGACCCCCTGAAGTGTTTGTCAGATCAAAGTTGCACAGCTCTCTCAGGCAATGAAAGTACTTCACAAAATCATTCTGACTACACAGGTCTGTGAATCCTGTATGCACCCCTTTCTGCCACTTGAAATAGGGAATGCCTAGTGATTCTCTGAGGCCTGTCCCTCCTTTACAAAGACTTAGATTTTATAATAGTTTCTTTTTCCCAGAATAAAAGTTGTTTTGGTTGTTCTCCCTCTCCCCTTCATCCTCCCCTTCTCCCTTGTGTTGTCCCACTCCCAGTATCCTTTGTACTTTTTTTTTTGCCAGCTGTAGACTAGTCCAAGTCACAGATAATTCCGGCATTTTTATGGATGCTGAGGTAAAAGCACCCATAACAAGCAAGCAAACAACAACCAACAAAGATAATTATAAAAGGTTAAGGACAGTAAGGAATTCCCAAATAGTCCACCAACAGATAAATATGAAACATAGCAATTCATCATTTTAGTTAATAATCATCCTATAGACAGCACACCAAACCCTTCATTTAGTTGAATCTTCGCTGAAGACCCACAGCTGACAGGATGAGGCTAAGACTAGGGAAGTAATTTGGAAGGAGGAGCCCACAGCTCTCTGCCTTGGAGTTCTATGATGGAAGGCAGAAACGGCCCAATCATAACCTAGGGCTGCTTTGAGGGGGAAAACATTGAGCAATATAGGACACCACACTGGGCACAAGCTAGATCTAAATTAATGTGAGTTCCCCTTTCTTTCCCCTGAGTCTGTGCACAGCCAACTTGCTTTTGACTTTGAAACATGAAACTCATCCCCTCCACCATCAGCACACATTTCTCAAGTTGCTGAAAACCTAAATAAAGACATATGAAATGAGGGCTGAAAGACGGGCCTGATTAACAGGAGAATTTAAGGGGATGAAAATCAATAATTATGTGTTGCGCCCCCTCTGTTAATGATTTTAGCAATAGGCACGCCAATTTTTCTCCCCAGTTCTTTTTAAAAAGAAGAGAAAGAAAAGCCCCAGGGCCAAACCGCAGGATGTAGAATCAAGGGAAGCTTCCACTCCTGATGTTCCGCTTATCCTAGACCAAAGTTGAGAAGTCAGAGACTGAAGTGCAATCCTTAAGACCTCTCTCTGGCTGGGTCCTCTGGCTTTCAAGCAGGTTTTACACATGGAGGAAGGTAGGAGGCAGCTGGCCACAAGGCATCCTATGAAACTTTCCCTGAAAGAGCTTTGCCAGATACTGCTGTCAATTACAGCCGCAAGCAAAGGGGAGGAAATGGCCCCAGGAAGCAAGCTGGCATGGGATTAAAACCGAAAAGCATGCACTTTAAACCCGAAGAGACAGGCATCATGACCTTCCAGGCCTTGCCCAACAGTCTGCCCACGATGGGAGAAAGTTCATTATCTCCTGGTCCGGGAACTCAACTCACCCAGCTGGAGCTGTTCGCAGGTCTGGCCTGGATTCTCTCCGATCCTGCATCTGTAAATCGCCCCGGGATTGACCACTGAGGCATTGGAGAGCCAGCTGGCAGTGGGAGCGCCCACGAGGAGCCTACAGCGAGAACCATGCAAGTTCGCTCAGATGTGAACCAGTCTGCCCACCCTCCCTGGTCCACATCCTGTCGAAACATCTGTGCAGTGGGCAGCAAGGGGAGTGCCCCCCCCCCGCCCATCCCTGGAGACTCTCGGGCCAGGTACCAGGGGCACCCCGGAGGCTGCCTTCCTCAGATAATTGAGTTCCAAGGCTCCCCAGTGAGCCAGCTGGCTGAAGCCCGGCTTTTCTCTAACCTCCCAGGAGGGCGGAAAGTTTGATTCAGACAAGGAATCCCCGAGGCGGAGGCGCTCTGACTCGCCTCTTGGGGAGGGCGCACTCACCAGCGCTTTGCCCCGTGGCTGTGCAGCAATACGGAGTAGCCGAACAACGTGCCGGAGGGCCCCTGGTACAGCAGAGCACTCTCCGCGTCCAGGTTGTAGGGGTGCCCGGCCGGCACCCCCAGGTACAACAACAGCATCACCGCTTCCCGGAGGGCGACCCCTCGGGGCCCCGGTCTGCGCCTGGCTTCCGCGGCCATGCACTCTTGTTGGGGAACATTCAACACCAAACGGCCACTGACCCGAGTTGCACAGGATGCGACTGTTGGCCAAGGCGAAGAGCGCCCCAAGAGATGAAGTGCAGCAGCGTGTCTGGTGCTGGCAGACGACAGGGGCGGGGAGAGAGGGACGCCAAGGGAGGAGGGGAATTGGTGGCCACAGGCAGAGCAATCTTGGTGGCCAGGGATGCCTCTGGCTCTGGCCCCCGCCCCGTATCTGTGGCCTGGGGCCTGGGTGCTCCTGTGATCTGGGTGGGGTCTGGGTGTGGTGCTCACAGCCTCAGCTCCCTCTCCCAGACCCGATCCCCATCTCCAATCCCACAGCAGCTGTAGGGGGCGCTGGGGGACCTAGTTTGCAGGGACTCACCCCCTGGCCTTGTTCTGGCTGCCCACATGCGGGATGGCTCTGGGCTGCTGGGGCCTAGCAAGTATAGCTCCGAGGGGGACACAGCACAGGACAGGGATTTCCCTTTGGAAAGTTGGCTGGGGCTTGATGACTAGCCTTTGAGGCACTTCACACAGTGGCTGGCCTCGATGGACAGTCCCAGTGGCCAAAGGTGGTCTCCCAAATTTGGGGACCAGGACTGTGGAGAACGTTCCAGAACTTCCTTTGCCAGTTAAGTGCTGCGTAGCAGAGAGAAATTAGTTTGTAACAAACTGAAAACACACCCCCATCCGGAGGCGCCTAGGGAGCATGTGGGTGAAAAAAGCGTTATGGCTAGTCTCTTCAAAACTCCCAGGCCTGTACCCTTTTATATGGCTTCCTTCCTCTCACACTTCCTCTTAAGCAGTGTGCATACACATGAGCAAGCCAGGCAAGGACCTGATGGGAGACCCAGGCTGGGTAAGGGAAATCGGTGACTTTTCTCCCGTAGCAGGCTCCTCCCCTCGCTTACTTCTTCCTACCCTGCCCCCACTACACGGACCCTCTCAGTCACCCCAGGACACACCTGCCACCAGAAGTGTAGACACAGCATAAGACAGGGTCATATTGAGCCTCCAGAGAGCTACGGGACACAGCACACCTGACCCAGGTGGCAGGCCTCCGCTGAATGCACTCCGCAGGTGCCGGGTGTCCTGCTGGAGAGCGCACCAAGTGCAGCGGGAGACATGAGGCCCTCTTGACACTGCTGCGTGAAAAGATAAACAAAAAGAGAAGAGTCTGCGCCTGCCGGTTCCACCCACCAAACGGCACAGCCGCAGCTGTCACAGTTCACTGAGTCAGATCATGTCATGCAGCAGACAGTGCCGGGCTGCTCCGAACAGTGCCACAAACTTGGGAGACTGATGGAGGAGCACCCAGCAAAATTTTGGCCACATGGCAGAAAGGAAAAATTAAAAAAAAAAAGCGATTACTAGTCCAGAAAGTCTGAATGTTTGGGGACGCTTGAAGAGGGTTGGAGGACAAGATTAGTTGAGTTAGGCCATATACGCTCTGAGAAGAGGCAGGAGGGAGGGCCCAGCCAGCCAGGTGGAGAGACTGGGGTAGAAAAGTAGGTACTTCCTGAGGCCCACAGGCAGGGAAACAACCGTTAAACTCTGGTCAGGGCTGATAGCTGCAGAGAAGCTAGTGGGCAGGACCTCATGGCTACCGCTTAGATTACAATTTGCTACATTTCCAGAAGTGCTACTCAGCATGCTATGGCAACCCTCCTTCCTTCCCCTAGGATTTGAAAACAGCCCTGTAGCTAAACATCCCTTCCCAGGGAGAGAGAAATAATGCCCCGTCTTCTGATGTCCCGGTGACAAACCCAGGCATGGTTCTGAAGTTCCCCCAAGGGAACTGTTTTAGTTAGTGTTCCACCGTGATCAAAAACAACCCAGGGAGGAAAGGACTTATTTGGCTTACGTATCCAGATTCATGATCCATAAGGGGAAACCAAAACAGGAACTCAAACTGGGCAGGAACTTGGAGGCAGGAACTGTTGAGAGGCCTTGGAAGAACGTTGCTTCCTGGCTTGCTTCTGACGGCTCACTTAGCCTGCTTTCTTGCTAAGAACACCAGCCCCAGGTGAGAGCAGCACCGACACGCAGTGGGCAGGACCCTCCCGCAGCTATCAGTGATTGGAAAAAGGTACTACAGGCTTGCGTGCCTCAGGTCCAAACTTATGGAGGCAATTTCTCAGCTGAGATTCCTTCCTCTCAGGTGACTCTATGCTGTGTCAAATTCACATAAAACTACCCAGCACAGGAACCGGGAAGTTTCTTGGGCTTCTTACACAGTGTTAGTGAGGGTTTCTCACTGGTATGTGGGCTCTCCTTCCCAACAGGCCACATTTGAAAAGGCTTAGCCAGGCAGAAATGAGGGCATCCTGGTAAAGGCACAGGTGGAGCCCCAGCCCCAATCTTCTCCAGCTCACATAACCCAGCCCCTCCAGCAGAAGTTTGCAATTAAAGCAGAGTTTCACACAACAGGTGGTAGGGAGGGGGTGGATGTTCAGGGGAGGGCCTGTGACCCTCTCCGCTTCACCCTGGGAGCCAACAAGTCCAGCTGGGATTTTGCAAGAGGGCCAAGCTAAACCCCCCAAGATGGCAGTTGCCAGGCTCAGAGGGCAGCCTCAATCCCTAAGCAATAAAAGGTGCTTGACATCATGTTACGAAGTCCAAACTTAATGTTCTCTCTCCTCTGTGTGGCTCTTCTTTGCTGGCTCCTTTCATTCATTCATTTATTTCCCCAGGAAAATAGTGCAAGAGTCCTGGCCTTAACTCAGGGGCCTTCATTTCCCTCCCCACCCCCACCGCAGGACTAACCCATGTCCTGTCTTTAAAAGACAGGTAATCATTATGTCTTCAGTTCTTGTCTCCAGCCTGGACCTTCCTAAGCTCCAGGTTTGCCCCAGGAGCTGTTTGACACCTCGCTGTGGCTCCCCAGTCACTTGCCATTACAGTGATCTTGCCCTACAGGCCAATCTCCTCCATTACAAAAAAAAAAAAAAAAAAAAAAAAAGCAAGCCAGTTAACAATTCACGAGAGATTTGATGAATAAAGTGAATGTCTTTCTCAGCTTTCTTTACTCCTCCTCCCTCTCTTGCTCCTCCTCACTTCCCTCACCTCCTCCCTGTCTGTCTCTTCCTCTCCTGCCTTCCTCCTTTTCCCCCTCAACCTCCACATGCTCAGTGCTCCTGAGGCAGAGTGACTGTAGACTGAGTTGCAGCTCTCCTGAAGCACCCACCTACCTTTTCGATCTCTCCTCTGTAGCCACATCCTTTCCTCAAATGGAATGTTCTCACCTGGGCTGTTATTTATTCATCTGCTGCTTGGTCATCTTCTAAAAATCCTCCAAGTCATCAGTTTTACACAAAGAAGCTAACATGAACTTCTAAAATTTTAAATGTGTTTTCACCCATTGCCTTAGCTCCTTTCAATAGCTTTCCATTGGTTTTATATTTCAAACTATGTGATCCTTTTGATGTAGCCCGGACTATCCCAAACCTGCCCCTGGCCCCTTTGCTTAGGCCATCCATGCTCCTCCTAATCCCTGAAGTCCTCAAGGTCTTTCATCCTCCAGGTCTTTGACTGTCTTGTCCCTCTCCCTGGGCACTCAGTAACTCTGATTTTATATGACTTTCCTTTTCCTCTGTCTTTCCTTCTCCCCTTCCTTCTTTCCCTTCTGCTTATTCTGTAGGGACGTTCTTGCCACCCAAGGCAAAGCCTCTGCTCTTCTGTTCATTTTCTCTAGGAATCTCACGTTTAATTGTCCTTGTGCTTTGCTAGAAGGAGGACACACCAGAGCTGTCACTGCTGTTCTAGCAACTCAGATGCTGCTGGCAAGTAGTAGGTACTCAATGGCTGTCTTTGAGCGTCCCTTACGTGAGCATCGCTGATGTCATAGGCGGAGGGGGAGCGAAATGTGTAAAAGCGGATCCTCAGCTCGAAGACTTTATAGCAGAAAGAGAACACGTATGTTTCAGGAAAGAGTGTAGCGTGGTCAAATGTGACTGCTATACAAGATGGGCAGAGAAGAGGCGGTAACCACATACAAGTAATGCACACCTACAAGTCAGTTCTGAGCCCTGTATGTAAAGGGCGGACGGAGTACGTGGGGGCAGGGCAATAGTGGTAGGACGTATGTATAACATAGAGAAGCAAGCTGGACTGGCGTTTGTAGTCTATGTGGCTGAGATGATGGTGGTGCTGTGGAAAACACCTAGCAGGGAGAAGACGTGGAACAGAGAAGACTAGGGAGAAAGGGGGACTTGAGTGAGGCTGGCCGTGCTGTACAGTGAAGTCTGAGGTGCTGTTGGAGCATCCAACAAGATGTAACCAGCAAGCAGTCTTTTCAGCTGTTTCTAGTATATGTTTTCAGTTACCACGTAGAATAATAATATGTGCATGAAGAAAATTTTTATCATCTGCCTTCCTTTAATTTACCCTTTGAATGTGTCCCTCCCCACAATGGATTGTGTGTCCAATATTGGCTCAAGGGCCTCTCTCGTGGATTCACACTGTGGATCTCTGTTCCCCACTGGAGGGAAGCTCCCAACAAGAAACAAGAAGTGCTGTTTGTTTATCCTAACAGCACTGCTAGACATGTTTCTGGACATGTTTCCTGTTTATTCATTCTGTAGCTCAGCAAATGTCTTCAGCATTCTCTCTCTCTCTCTCTCTCTCTCTCTCTCTCTCTCTGTGTGTCTGAGAGAGAGTGATATGGAATGATAAAGGGTGTGGGTTCCTTATTTCCGTTAGTTACGAATTTCAGTAGGGCAACCCAAGAAATAAATAGTAAATATTCTCCACTTTTGACTTTTTGTACACTGATAATATATGTAAGCAGATAATTTTTCTTGTATTCTCTCTAGCTCTGGCACTTCTAGTTGTTCCTCCTGTAAGGCAATCCAAGCTCTCATTAAGTTCTTCCTGAAACTTAGTGCTCCACGGTAGATCTTGAACTAGCTTTGTATGTACCTCAAACGCAGCCAATTTCCCCCTCTTATCACATTGTTTTAATTTGGTGGAGATCAAGTAACGAACCCAAACAAGAAACTGTCCTATGGCAGGCAAGGAGATGCAGACAAAACGAACTTTCTTCTGGCTGATGTGTTCACAGCATCTTGTCTATAGTGAATGGGCAATTTTTACAAATATCATCTTTTACTCCTTTTCTCAAAACATAAACTCCAGAAACTGCTTGATACTTGATAACTTCTTAAACCAAGTCTATTTCATGCTTGAGTTCAGAAGCAGAAACAATTGCTTCTCCTGTTACGGTGTATAAAGGACCTTGTGTAAGGCCATTCTTGTCTCAGAGCACGTGGTTAATAGTGACAAGGTTTTATCTCATAAGTAATCTGACCTGGAAGATCGGATTCATGCACTGGAATGATTTAACAACTGGCTCATGTAAGATGCCAACAGTTCACAAGACACAGCACACACCCTCACCTTCTCCTGCTACCAGAGGGCACAGACCATGACAATGCACATAGGGCAACATTGTTTTTAAGCCTCTGCACATCCAACGCCTGCTGAAAACTGATTTTATGGGAGTTTTAGGAAAAGGACTGGTGAAAAAGCATAAGGAGAATTGTTTGCATATAAAATGACATCATACAACAAGAATTTAGTTGCACATATCCTACGGACTTGGAAGACACAAAAGAAATGAAGGACAGGTTCTAACACTTGATTACCTAGGAAAACAGGACACATGAGTTTGAAAGCAGAAAACAATTTTGAAAGTCCAACACAGCAGTTATGGGCTCAGTACGAACATGAGACACTAGCACAGTCGGGAAGCATTGAGTTTAACCCTAAATCAACCTCCTTTCTGCTTTCATTTTCTTTATATTGGGCAGACCAAACTGGAGAAACATACAGCTTAGTCCTTGCAGACAAGATGAAAGAGATAAAAGAACACCAGGCACCAAAGCATCAGAGGAAAGAAGACAAGAAGGTAAACAGGAGCGGAAGCCTGTGCTTTCTAGGGACAGAAATATTGAAAGCGCTAGTTTCCTGAGATGCTTCAAATTCGGCGGAAACTTTAGGGAAAAAAATTAACAATTTAGGTTAGTAAAATGCAGTGAACATTACTAGTGATATTTTCCCCATTCGTGATTTACATAAAAATCTACAGCCTTACATGCAAGTTAAACAGGGATCTGGGAGACCCAAAGTCTTGAAAAAGGACTGCACTCACCCGTTTTAGAGTTCTCTTATTCAAATACAAAAGTAAGGTAGTATCTATTTCCAAAAATACTAATTTTCATCCCTGTAAACAGCAGGGACATTTCAGTCTTTTAAAGTCTGCAACACTCACCAACAAACCACAGGCAAGCAGACAAAAAAAACAGGCATGAAGATGGAT